GGGCAGACGCCGGCGATCCAAACACATTAGTAATATATGACCGCATTATTATTACTATATTCGCTGTCGCCTTTTTTTGTTGAGTCTAGGGGGCTGCACCCAAAAGTAGCGCTCATTTAAATTTGTCACGGCGCCAGCAACCACGAAATGTTATTATTTTTTGGTTGCATTTCTAAGCCCTGGCTCGAATGCAGGCTTGCTTTTTTTTGTTTAGTTGTGAGGCAAGAAAAACGCATCTGACGGCTTGACAGCTGCTCCCAGCAAATGCCCCAAAAAAGAGGTACAAAATTAAATAAATTTAAAGAGAAGCAGATACGAGATACTCAGATACTCGGCGACGGCGTCATCGCTTGCCTTCATTCAAATTCGTACACGTACGGATATGGGTGTTGTGCAACTTTATTATTATTATTTTATTTCTGTTTTTCGAACGCATTGGGAAAACACGGCAGAAAACCCAAAAAGACTGAAAATAATGAGCAACATTTTTTGTGGCAGGGTGCGGCGTCTGTGAGTATTTTAACGAGTCGCCAAATGGGCCTGGGAAAAACAGACCTCTATTTGTTCTAATTGATTGCGAGTTTGCTTTTAGTTAGTCTTTGTCCATTTGTTTCATTCCATCTGGGCTACATGTGTAAATATTTAGAGTGCCTGTATCTGAATGAAGGATATCCAATGAAATTACTCACTGGAAAAGGCCGGCTTCCTCCTCTGCTGTTTGTTGTCACCAACTTTCAATTAACGAAATGACAAGCAAATGCATTCCAACTTGTTCCATAAATCCAGGCTGTGGTGCTGCAGCCCGAGGTTCAATAACCCCGCCTTTGGCGAGGGTGAAGCATTGTTGACACACGACTGGTTGCCTCACTGATTTAGCCTTGAAATAGTTGACATGTCGCAGGCTTTTCCCCTCCATCCAGACACCCAACTATCCATTCATATCCCTCCACTGGAATGGAGTAATAAAAACAGAAGATCGCGTTGTAAAAGTTGAACGACGGGCAAACACGACAAGATGCTATGCAGATGTTGCTGCCCCTGCTGTATTGTCATTGTTGAAGTTTTCTGATTTATCTTGCACTTATTTTCAAAATGTATTTGCCACAATTTGCCAAAAGAGCTGAAATATTTTTACACATTTTTTTTGGCCTCTAACAATGGTGTGGAAAATGAAACAAAGCAATTATAATGCAGACTTTCTTTTTGAAGTCGACTTACACGCGACACAAGGCACAGGCATCTGCGTAGGTTTTTCCAATACAAAGTAATTTATTGCCCTCGTGTTTATGAATTAAACTCTCTACTGGAAGTGAGGGATTTTTGCAAACATTTTCTCACATTTGAAACATGAAATTGTAATGAAACTGAAGCGTGGCTTTTCCTCGGCCCCTCTTGGCCAATTTCCAGTGTGCAACCATCTGCTGTGGGCCGTGTCTTTGTTTATTGCTTTAAATACGATCATTCATTTTTTGAGTGTTTATAACTGCATTTCACTTTTGTGTACCGCACTCGATGCGCAAACGATGCGTAATTAAATTGTTTATTGTGTGTTTTTATGTTTCTTTCTTCTCCTCCGCTTTCTTTATATGGAGCGTTAGCAGTTGATGTTTACTTTTTTTAACTGATTGTGTATGGAGTGCACAATAATTTATGCGCACATTTTAATTATCAAAAGTAGATTGTTAGGTTCATTGCCACCGCTCTAGCACTAAATTAATAAATGCTTTTTCTCTCTCTGCTTTCAGGTGAGCTTTTGGTTCCTTATTGTCAAATCCTTGGATTTAATTGCACGACAATTTTACGAGGCAGGTAATGAAACCAGGTAAATCGCACGACTCGGTTGGGCTATGCGTGAGAAATTTCCTATAAATATTTGCGACAATTAAAAAGCTATTTCAGCCCGGCCCCACAGCCCATGGCTCACTCACCTCCTAAACAAGCCGCTGATTGATGGACTTGAGCTTGAAACGCCACCAATCGATCCAGTCCAACTGGTTTCTGCACTCAGAACAAAAGACTTATAGATCGATCCAGTGGGAGATATCAAATTTCAGCAGAGTTTCGCTTGTAGGTCGCATATTTTGCATAGTTTGGAACTAGTTTGTCTATTTGGGAAAAATCTTCTTAAATATTAAGAATGAATAGGTTTTGTATTGTTGAATTTGCGATGTCACAACATTTTACCTCATTAACGGTGTTTTTGTTAGATTTAAAATACCACTTGTTATCTTTGATAACAAATTTTTATCAGGTATTTGTTCTTTATCTTGGAAGACTATTTTTGCCTTGATCTTTCATTTAACTCAAAACATTTTCTACGTCTTAAAGAAAACATAGAATTTAGAAAAAGAGGTATTAAAAAAAGATTTTTTCCGTGTATGAAATCCGGCTTCGATTAGAACTAGTTGGGTGCTGGCGATGGCGATGACGTTGGGCGACACGTGTAGCCGCCGTCCAGTCCGGCCCACTTGACATGAGTTGCATGAACTCCGCCTGGACAAAGAGTAGGGGAGTGACGAGGGCAGGGGAGCTGGGTCTTCCATCATACGGACCGGCTACTGTGCCGGGGCAGCATGTGGCACTTCATCAAGGGCAGACGGCAAGCCGAGACGTCGCCACGATCTCAATGGAGGAGAGCTGGAGAGTTTGGAGTGCTGGCTCCGTTTGGCCTGGCTGGAAATTCTTCGGTGTCTCGCTGTGAGAACAAACGCTGCCGCCTTTCCTCGGCCGCGGCATGCCACATTTAAAATGTAAACGCCAATTGATTATTAACGCGCCAAACCAATTACATTTCGTACCCGATCGCACTTAACAAGCCGACAAAGTTCGGTTCGTAGTGGGTATGGAAATTGCGTGGAACTCGAATGCAGCTCTTTGTGCCAAAAGATCTCTCTAGAGATTGGTGGGCTCTCTAGCCGAAATACCCTTGAATCAAAGAGTACATTAAGTTTTTCATACTCTTACCAGCTAGAAAGAAAACTGCGCATGGCGAATTTCAAATAGTTAGTTTCCAGAATAATATAGGATCTTTTGAAACTATCATATCTAATAGGCTTATCTATTATTATTTATAGTCGCAGTTTCAGAACTCAATATTTTTTAAAAAGGTGTTTAATATAAAGGTTCTTTTCAAAAGATTATCATATATCTGTCAAACTCAATAGTTCTAACTTTCTTCTTTCTAGAAGTTTCTCAGATCGACATTTTTTTGAGTAATATGACTGCATACTTAGTTAATGAACTATAATACCATGCTATAGGGTATTTCCAAATCCCATCCCGGACTGCAACTTTCCCATCTTGTTTATGTTTTCGCTAGCCAAATAGGGAGGCGAAAACCCTTTCGAATGGCATCTTGTGCTAATCGCCAGCAGCATGCCAGTGACCCTTTTATGGTCACCATGCAACGGGGACCGATCCGAGCCCGAGTCGTCTTGATTGGATCGCGCTAGCTTGTTTGGGCTTTGGGCCAAGTGGAGGGGATAGGAGGATGGTATAGGGAGACGCACGACTGCTTATGGAAAATGCGCCACACTTAGTGAAATAGCCGGAGAAAAGCAATGGAAACGGAAGTGCTTGTTGTTGTCATTTAATGAAAACACTGAGGGGGGAGGCCGGCGGAAGGCGTGTGTCTGGACTTTATGTTGATTTTAATCACGGCGACGTGTCACAACTGGCCAAATGCATCGGCTCATCCACCATTCTCGGCTCTTTAGTTGTTAGTGGAGTGTGTGCGTTTGTGTGTGGAACTCTCTGAGCCATAAAGGTTTTCTAATTTAATTGACAGAGCCCACATCGACTGATGTTTGCGATTTAAGGCGTGCGATAAAAGCAATTAAATTGTATGACTTACTCGCCGCGCATATATGATCAAAGAGCTTAATGGCTAAGAAGGGATGGGCAGGCGCCGTCAGAATGAATTCGATAAAACGGAAACTTACTCTGCCCGTTGAAAGTGAATGTTTTTCACCCGATCAATTGGCAGTTCGATCAATTTGGCTCTAAGGTCAAATTGCTTCGCAGCACACCCCTAATCCCTGCTGACGTACTTGAAAAACGCACTGGAAGACGGGGAGGTTTAATGTTCTGTTCTGTTCTCGTATTGGTTTTCACTTCCACCTATCGATTGACAGTCGCCACATCCAATTAACAGTTTGCTACTGTCTTGTGCGGTTTTTTATTTTTATTTCATTTCTGGTATTTAGCACAGTTTGTTTGACGCGACTTGTTGTCGATATATGTGTGTATGGTGGTGTCTTTTCTGCTGCTCATGTACAACAAGACGTCTTTAATTGATTTTGTGCTACATTTATCCATTTAATTGCTTTAGCCATGTCTTAGAGATTAAATTATTTCTGACACTGACGCGATCCTTATAAGTGACGCACTGTTTTGATAGCTGTTTGTAATTCTGGTTAATCACAAAGCTTACAGAGTTTACAGAATACAAAGTAAAATATTTGCTAAAAGATTTGACAGGAGTGTAATATGATAGTTATATGTGGTCTAGGGTTAAAAATAAACAACCGTGAATTCCCTCGATTGCATCATGGCTTAATGAATATAAAAATGCACTTGGTTTTATTATAATTTATGATTATATCCATCCACATGAGTCAGACATTAAAAGCTCAGTCATGTGAGTACTTCTAACACTTTCTAAGGTTATCCCGTTAAAGTTTAACCGACGGAGTTTTGCGGAACTACCTTGGGGTTTTTTTTTCCCGCCGAATATTAGAGAAAACGAAATAGCTGAAAACCGTAATTCCTATGCAATCGTTCCGTGAGTGCGAGTATCTACAATCTAAGATCCCTCAACTATCTGAGGCACTCAACGAGCCCGAAACAACGTCGCCCGTTAATGACGCTGCTGGTTTTTAGGTGCGTTGGTAAGAGTGTGTTTGCTTAACCCATTTATTATGTCTTTTGCCATGCCATTGATGCAAAAGTAAACAAGTTAAGCGGCTTTTAATTTTATTATTGTACGCTATACGGTATACAGCGGAGTATCGTAAAGTTAAGTACTCAAATAGAGGTGAAGCGGGACACAGATAGCACAGCAGCGGCCACTATAAATCAGTCTAATATATTGTTCGGTAAATTATTAAGTCATTAACTATATATGTATATTGAAAAATGTGCGGATTGCCCATTTCAGCACATTCCGCAACCGCAAATGATTGATACCCCAAGAATTACGAATGATTGTGACCTTCGGTTCGGCGGATAGGTAATAGTAGGTGTACTATAACTTTCAGTCTTGGCAGGGGGTCGTCGACGTTCTCCGTTAGGAGGTTTTGTGGTTCATAGGGAAATATGCTATGCAGCTGGGCAAGCCCATAAACAAATCAGGTTCGATCCAATCCAAGAATGTCTGGTCGTCGTGCGCCTCACCTAAACAAACAAACATGCCGTATTCAGTATCCATAGGAGGCACGTAGTCTAGTTTATTAATTTCAGAGGAGTAGTAGGGCCGGCTCACGAACCTTTAAGCGTATGCATGATCCACCTCAAACTGGGACTGAAATCCGAACAAAAACTGTTAAGAACCCGGACTGCCGAGTCATCCCACATGACGGCCGGATTGTTCCTATTGTGACATTGTTATAATTCAATATGTAGAACGTGTTCGATTTTGAATGCTTTTTATGGCCGATACGACGCCGGTCGTGTAATCGTAAACTTAGCTATCGTCCGATGTCATTAAAGCGAGTCCTAGAGTCTCCCAGATCGTGAGAACAGCATTACGGGGGCCTTTGGAATGGAATCGAAATGGAATAAGATGACGATGACATAACACGGGCCATTAAACTATACTTAGTTATACGAGTGCGATGGGCAGATAGGCCAACCCATCCAATCCGGCGAACGTGCAATGAACTGCTGAAGGTGATCTCGAAGGCTGATAGCAGTGAGGCCTCCTTGTCAGATTTAATTGATTATGCAATGTTTGTTATTATTATTACTTTAGCTTGAGCTTTAGCTGATAAATACATGGGATGTACTTGCAATTTCCGCGTGTTCGTGATGCATGGCTGTTGGATTTTAGTATGCGTTAATTGTCCCCGCCTCCACGAAAACACTTACTTTTCCCTCGGCTTTTCAATTTGATATCGAATTTCCATGTTGCCTACAACTAACAGCTAATAATTGCTGTTGTTACAAAAAAAAATTGTTGCCAGCACCCACCCACCTCATCCTCCCACTAAAAGTTGTGCAATATGCGTGAGCTGCTGCTGCCGTTGCCGTTGCAGTTGCAGCTGTTGGCATTGCTTCCTGCCCCGGCAACATCAACTAGCAACAACATTTTACTTGTTAAATTATTTGCTTAACACGAAATAAAATTTTGTTAAACATGTGCCACAAAGGAAAAGGTGAAACAACAAGCAGGAGCTGAAAATAAAAAAAAAACGGCAACCGACAAACAAAAAACCAAACCAAATAAAAACAAAAGCGAACCGCATTTGCATAACTACGCCAAAGCTTCCGTTAACAATTAAAGGCACAAACACATGTGGGGCCACCAACCATAATAACCATCTTATGTCCGAGGCGCATTACCCAACAAGTTCAATAAAAGGTTGCATAAATCTGAAACTGTATCTTGCCCCCGAAATCTCTCTCTTGATAATTGCAGCCTGCTTGCAACATCTTCGCTTGAAGCCTTCAAACCAAATATATTCTTTGATTTTCACTGCTCAAATGGACACTTCCTGGTCGCCCACACATGCGGCACCGTCCCACGCCCACTGCCGCCCATTAAAGCACCTGGAAAAGTGATGGTGTGAATGTACAAGGTGCAACAGCGAATTCCGCTCGCTTCACATGAAAACCAAATTCGAAATCGCTTAAAACGGCACTTGAGCTTATAGTTTTCTTTTTAGTTACAGCCGCTGCCGTTGTTTACGACTCTGTTTTGTGGTCCCGGCATAATATAGAGATATATATCTGGTATTTGGGGGCTGGCCGGAGTTTTATCTGCAATTGTGTTCCGCTATTGCCGGCTTAATAAATGTTTATGGTGATTGATGCACACGCTCACTCGCCTTTTGGCTAATTAATTCCACCGAAACTACGAACCACCCCATCTCTATATACATACCCTACCCAACCAACGGATGCATCTTTATGGCCAATCATAAGTCTGCCCTTGGGCAGCTGAACTTTCCATGGGCCGATAAGATTGGCCCGAAACTCAGCGACAACTGATTAGATTACCCATTGAATTATAATCCTAATACTTGACTAGGCGGCGACTAGGTCTATACCGATAAGGTCAATATAATTTCAGCGTATCATGATGGCTAAAAATATTGGGGTATACGTCAGTACCAGACGTCAAGGTTAATTATAGTACATTTCTATTTTGGGGTTAGCTTAAACATTAAATTGAAAGGTAATTTTAGGGTTAAGTATTATATTAAATAGGAAAATTAGAAAGAACACATTCCTTCAAGAGGTGACCCACCTCTAACCTAAATCCTAATTTACCCCCTGGCTCTCGTGACAATGGAGCGTGCAATATTATCCCCATTTAACCCGTTTTGTGCTCCATGCAAATAACCAAACACAGTCACCTGTTGTCTCTTCACTGCCTCGTTATAACTGAGCATAGCAATAAAGGCCATTTAGAGCGGCTGCCCCTGATGCCCGAAACCAAACTGAAAAGCCAGTTGTCTTGGTAGAAATGAAGACGGCAAGTTTGTAGCTAGATGGCGAGAAAGAAGAAAGCAAACTGGGTTAAATTCCATTCAAAGCCGGCTTCCAGCCATCAGCTCTTAGCACTCTCAGCTGGTTCTTTTTCTGCCAACAACTTGGGAATGGGAATATGACCAGAAGTTGGTGGCAGCAACACCTCTCGCCTAATATTTGTCTTACATGGTTTTAGCCGACATTTGCTGTCTGTGAGTGGGGAGTGCGTATTTCTTGGGTTTGGTTGGGTTTTGGTTCGGGTTCGGGTTTGGGTTGGCACAGCGGCGTGAAAAACTCGGTGGAGTGTGCCAGAACACGTTTTGTCTCGGGATCCGATCCCTTCCTCCGTTCCGCTGGTGACATTGTACCGCTAACTCGTGTTGCCACAACACGCTGCCATGTGAAAGATGATTGACCAGCCAGGCAGGCTGAGTATCTCTCAGACGCAGAGTATCTCTGGTGAATGAAAAAACCCAACTGTAAATCGCATTAAGTATTTGTTAACCAGCAAAACGAAACGTGAAAATAGCTGGAATATTTTCACTACCAACTAGTATACTTACATGTTGTAGCCGGTGCAATCGAGTCGAAGTTAACCTGGCACCGCTGCAGATCGAATGTCACACGTGTGTTGTGTGCCCCATGTCGAGTCCGTTGGCCAAAAACGCGTTTTTCGGCCAACAAAAATATATATGAATGTATGCAACTCAAGCTGGAAATGAGCGGGTTTTTCATTGCTTATGCCGATTACCAATTTTTTGTTTAATGGTATTATTATTTTTGTTTTTTTCTTCTTTCTTTTCCGCCGGCTGAAATGTCAGTGTGAGCAGCCGCCGAGGCGACTGGTTTCGGCCAAAAGCCTGGCCTTTTGGTCAAAAAGGATGTTTTTTGGCGAGGTGGTGCGGCAACTTTCGTTGTTGTTTTGTTTCCGCAACCGCCACCATTTTATTGTGGACGCTGTTATTTTCATTTTTGCCTCAACTGAAAGTGAAAATACGAGTATTTACGGCAAAAGGCAAGAAATTTGTTTGCATGCCGAGATGCTGCCGCCTGTTGACATAACCATCGATGCAATGCGCTGAGGATGAGGATGAGGAGATGAGGACCATTAAACTGGTTAAGTAATAATGATTTGATGTGTTTCATTTGAATGCGCAGAACGGATGACGATGACTTCACTCTCTCCTCCGTTTGCTGTTTAGTTATCCATTGGCGGAACTTTAAGTTGGACATTATTTGGAGAGCAAACGAAAATTTTAAAAGCATTTCCATGCTTTAAAATAAACAAACAGAACGAATAAGAAGTGTGTGTGTGGTATGTGTTCCTTCATAAATAATTTCTGATTCTGTTTATCACCCATTTGGGGAAAAATTAAACGATGCAGCAGCTGAGGAGGAGGTGCCAATGAATTTCGGGGAAAATTACGGGATTTTTCTAAGCTGCTCATAAAGCTTTTAGAACCCAATAACTTTCCCACACACGACGACCCAGATCGGATCAATGGAGGCTTCTTTCACTCGAACACCTTCGTTTTCGGATTTCGCCGGTAATTGATTATTTTGGAAGACCATCGATGCTGGGCATGTATGATGTATGGGCTGTGTGTTTGAGCCGCGTCGGTAATTCTTTTCTCACGTCATTGCTGGCCTAAACGCTTTTCAATAAGAAACCGACGGTCTTTGAAGCTGGCCGCCGAGCAAAAGATCAATCCACACATGTGTGTGCTGAGTGGACTGGACTGAGTGAGTTCTCTTTTAGCACAGTTGCTGGCCAGGCCCCAGTCTTCGGCTTAGGAACTCGGACGTGCCACTTTTTGGTCCACTGCATTCGCTTTGTCTGCAGCACGAACGGCTCGAACATTTTTGGTTAAATACACGTACCCAGCATGCATTTTGTGGAAACTGCCTCTTTTCATCTGCAGCGCTCATTAAGCGCTTCTAAAGCATTCTAAAATGCATTTAATGGTTTAATTGTCCCACAAACACTCAATGGGGAGTGCCCGCGTCCCGTCTCTTTTGATGGTCGCTCGGTCGGGATGACAGGCTGTGACGACGGGCTGTAAGGTAGGGACTCATTTAATGCAAATCAATTTGGCAAACAGACATAAAGCTTTCGGGCTTTATTGGTCACGCACAACGCACAAATAATTCGGTAATTAAAGAATGACTTACAGTGGAACTTCTCTAAGAAGAACTATTTGTTAAAAATAACTTCTGAGTATCGTATGAAAATACCAATAGATATAAATAAAATAATCAGTAAGAATAAGGACTTATTGGACATGGCACCTACCAACATTATATAATTTATAGGTTGACCCCTTTTCCTTTAGATTGGCAAATATTGTCATAACTTTTTAATACATTATCCAGTCAGTCGAAACTCAGCAAGTGTCATATGGCAATAAAAATATTATCAAGATGGTAGAAGCAAAAATAAAAAAGAAATCGTTCAAAAGTATAAATATTGTTTTCAGTTTTAATGTTATTTAGATGGTAGAAGCAAAAATAAAGTAAAACCAAATTCTTAAAAAATATAAATATTATTTTTCGTTTCGAAAAGAGCTAAAAGTGGTATACTTATAGAAGCTAGCCTGTTAAATCAATATGATGAACGGCAGCAATTTAAATGAGAACTGCCTTGCCCGAATATATTTTGAGGTTCCATCCGGCTGGGTGTGTCAGCATTATGAGGCGACTTTTTTGCGGAAAACATATAGGTATAAAGTATATTGAAAGCTCTTTGAGTGGCAGATAAGCAAATGGCCGAAAATGAAGTGACACGAAGCGGAAATCGATTCTGAGCCGAGCTAAGAATCTTGGGAACACCTCGATCACCTCCTGCTACCCCCTTCTATTTCTGATTGCCAAATGCTGCTGCTTTTGCCAGACAACAAGCCAAACAACTCATGACTGCAGACCGCCGTGAATTGGACTTTGTCCGCTGGGCGTAAGCAAATAGCAAATGGCAACAGAAACTTCATAAATTTGTTAACACCGACGCAAAGGCGGCTAGAAGCTATGGAATGGAGGCCAGCACAAAGCCGAAATGAGCTAAAAGCGCAACAGGACAATAAAGAATGACAATGACTTGGTTACGACTCTGGTTGTACTGCAGTTTTTTTTATCGTGGTAGTTGTCGGCGTCGTGTGTGTCACCCACGCACACGTGTCCCGAGGTTC